GGATGTTACCAATTTCTTCCATTATGCAACATGCCCTTCTAATGTGGATACAGCAATTCTTACCGTTCATCGGCATGTTATAGTCTGATAGCAAGAATAGCAGTAAATGCCACCAATTACGTTAGAGTAGCATACGTACACCGTTCTTCTTCTTCTGTTTTATACAAATAATTAAAATAAAATATCCCTAAAATATCAGGAAAAACAAATCAAATACCAATCAGTGTTTTCTATTTTTCATCTAAAAATTAATGCATACCTCGGCAAAAAGGGTAAAGTTTTATTCCAAGTTTAATTTTTTCTATTCAACTGAAAATTATATATTAACACGTCTGCCAATCCACTCAAGTTATTTCTGTAATTCACTATTTTTCGTGGTCCGCTTGACCAATTAATACAATTCAATTAATTAAGGTTTTAAGTCGAGATAAAAAAGTCAGTGTCACGAGCGGGATTCGAACCCACGACCTTGGGCTTGATACGCCGCTACTCTACCACTTGCTATCGTGACTTCGATCCACTCGGGCACTAACTTCCCATCTCAACCCCACCTTCGGATTTTCCCTCCTTTTTGCCATTTTTCAAATGTTGTGTAATCGATTTGATTCTCGGCGACAAATGGAGTTCGAATTCCGCTCGTGACACTGACTTTTTTATTTCGACTTATTTCTGTAAGTTGTATTTTTTTGCCATCTTTTAAGGTTGTTTTGCGCCCTTTATGTAAGTCAAAATAGGTAAGTTATAGGTTCAGAAAAGTTGGTTATAGTTTGAAAATTATATACGTGAGTATTAAAATAAGCCTATTGAAAGAGTTGTTCAGTCGAAATATTTTCGCTATTTTAACATAACAAGGCAGAATATTTTTTGGTAGAAGTAAATAGTAATTGTTTTTTAATAAAGATATGTGTTTTGACAATCATTATCTTGATGTAGTGCTTTGTGTTGTATATTAACTCGGCTCTCCTTTGGCGTGATGTCAATGTTGATTTATACCGGCATCACATCTCAAAAGGGCAATTAAACTTTGTCTGTCTGATTGTAGGGTTTGGTGGCTCTAAAAGGTCTACTATCCCTGCGTATTATATGGGCTCTATATCTGTATAATTTCGGGAGGAAACGTAATTAAGTCTTCTAATCAGAAGTGAACAATTCTAGCCGAATTTCTGATTTACCTTGAGAAAGAAAAGAATCTTGAGTATTATGATTACATGGGATGTTATTTTCTAAAAGAGACATTGTAAAGAAGCCAAGGCAAAAATACACCACACAAGCCAAATTTTCCCTTTCGACAATTTGTGTCTTCTCAGCTGTCAACAGAATTCTCTGAATTCCTAGTTTTACAAAAGGAGAATTTGATATCTCTCCCACCTCTTATAATCGATTTTGAATATCGAACGCTATTTGATGCTTTGATGCTTGTTTTGTTATCTGATAAGAGTTTAATGTGTTAAGTCATTTTGGAATGTGTTGGTTGCGATCATTTCCAGGTTATCGATTTATATTTTTCAAGTGTTTTGTTAGCAATTCGTGCCTATTATCTCTATGCCTACTCCCTGTTTCATCGTTGATCCATCAGTGTGCTAATAGGGCCCCTTCATGAAATTTGGGTTGCTTTCTTTAAAACATCTCTGTTCTATGACCACTTAGAAAGCTCTGTCAGAGTGATCAAAGTGTGAGTAATTCTATCAGATACTGTCATAGCCATCTCATTTTAGATTTTTCCTAGATATGGTTTTATTTCCTTATATCTCAGGAATATGTTGGCACAAGAAAAAATCCCATTTTGTATATGAATGTGTAAGTGGAGGAGATTGAGTGCGGTTTTCATATATATTGTGGGACATTAAGCGGCGTCCCTGCTTTGCCACCCTACTCTGTATATTTTGCAGTTTGTTTTGAGTCTTATCATTGTAAGGTTGGTGTATGGCCAAAAAATATTCTGCCGACATTAATAATAAATCAACTAATTCTTTTTCGACCATACACCAGATCCACACTTTACAATTTACACCACCGGTCGTCAATTCCACTTAGTAAACAGTACATTAATTTTTTTTTTAAAGTTATATAATTGAAGCGAATAAATACTGAAGTTTTTCAACAAATGTCCCTTGATTTTTGATTGCTGTTGACAGTTTCAAATATGCTGACGTATTTCCCTTTATTTAACTTACGAGTAGTAAATACATAAAGGGAAATTTCATTATTACTTTTACAGAAAACGTTGGAATTTTCAGAAATCATTTATCTTCAATTTCGCCAATCAATTGACACGTATTTTAGATTTTTCTTTCAACTGGTCATCCGGAAACGCAATCACGACCGTACAAAAAATTTAATTTACTACTAACTGCAGCATATGTTCTGCTCCGTGAGCGAAAGATTCCAGTCTGGAGAAATCTGACCAAAACGTGCCATGCAGCGAAATGCGGCAATATTTTGGTTCAAAGTTGAAACACCAGACTACGAGGTGCGCATTGATCGTTGAGCTGCATTTCATGATCGATATTCACTGGTCGAATATTTCAATCATGATCGATTGAGAAGACACGGCATACGTGAAGATATAAGAACAATTTGTTAAACAAAAATTAGGCGTTTCTTTCGACAATATTTTATGTTAAACTTTTGAAAACTTTACAATTTTTTTAAATTATTGTAATATAAGATTATTAGAACCTTTATTATAATAATACGCTACAAAATAATCATACATATATATTACAAAAAAGACAATGTATGGTTTGGATTAATTCGTCTGCCGGTGAAACCATCATTTATAGACTACACTTTTTTTTCTACTTTTGGATTAAATTAAAATTTATATTAATATCAAACAATACCGTTCATTTTCTTTGTTTGCGTTGTCTAAACGTTATGTACAAAATAAAAAGATGAGTTTTTTTGTACTTCAGTTAAACTTCATTACTCTATAAAACGAACAAACAAAAGTTATTTACAATTTTTTAATAAAACATGCTCTACGATAATCACAATAAAAATATTTTTGTGGTAGAACAAAATAAACATTGACTCATTGATTTTACATAATTTTATTATATGTTTTTCTTTTTAAGTTAATTTTTACAATCTTCGCAGCCATATCCAAGTTTGTTTCTCCATTTTCCAGAAAATCTTTTGATTCCTTTTAAGTTCTTGTACTTTCTTCTGCTTTCTTATATTTTGAATTCTTATTCCAATTGTGTATATTTTCAGTAGAATATCTTAAATTTGGTTCAATAGTATTTCTCTAACAATCTAGCTATTTAAACGTTTATCTTGGGCCTGTAGATAACCCAAGGATAAGAAGACCCCTTACATATCTTTCTTTTCCCTTTTATCAGGATAATCCACGTATATTGTGTTTTTTAAATAATATTAACTAATCAGTAATTTGTCATTAAAGTACGTTTTACACTTTATCATTGACCCTGACCAGTTCTAACTATAAATACCCATAATTAATTTCAATATATGGACATGTAATTATGCCCAGTGAAGTTGAACTAATCCTTATTCTAAACGAAAGGGTTAACTAGCGGTCAATTCGACCAACTGAGGTCTACAGTTCTTGTGAACCTTTAACATACTGAAATATTCAAATCAAGCTACCTTTCCGTAGCTTGACAATGTACAAATATTCCAGCTTTTCCCTAAAACGACTATTTTCTATCTTTCTAGATATTACTCTACTGAAACGCCGTACTGCTTTGTATTTTATGAAGTTTTGGCAGCCAAACGGAAACAAGAAAGTTATAACGGACTTTTTGAAAATGCCACGTCTATGTTTAATTTACACGTTTGTAAATTGAGTTAAATGAGGAAGTTGCTAAGAAGTATTGACTAAAACTATCAAGGCCAAGATTTGCGTTTTTTTAAGGCCAGTAAAAGACGCGAACTGTCTCGAACAGAATGCCAAAATTAAAACTTTCCTCTGCCCGCTTGTTTACTCCTTTGGATCGATCTACCAAGTTTTCTGTTCTGCCACGTGATTAATTATTAAAAAAGTTTAAATGTGTAAACTGAATACAGACCAACTTGAATAAAAATCCGGTCCACGACTTAGAAAATGTCTGTAGACTTTAAGCTATATCGTGCTGTTAACGACAGCAATTAAACTTGTTTCTCTCGGCAAAATGTATGTACTTATCTAAGAAAAATATATATGGATAACTGCCTTTATTATACACCTGAAGACGAAAGATTATTATAAGTTATAGTTTCATTTTTTAATTATTCCATGTCCATTGCAACTCATAATAATACGTTAGATTGGACATTTTCTGGGTACCTAAAAGGCATTTAAATTTTGTATAATGCATGTTAAACTTAAAGGTTAAAATATTGTATTTTTATACGCGAATAAATAAATCATTGCACTTTATTCTACTGTACTGTAAGGGAATTTACAATGTGGCCGAAACTTGAACCGCTTGAAGTAGATCAAACTGACCACATGACCGTTCAACTTCCTTGCAGAACTGACTGTTGTTTCACCCTCACATTTCAACTCGCGTTACCAGGTTTAAAGTCAACCAAGTCAAGTATCAAATCGATAAACTCTCGAGAGCTATTAATGGTTTTCGATCCTCGTGACATTTTCAAAATTTAAAGGTCATATGGTTCTCGAAGGAAAGCTTGAGTTATAGGTTGTATATTCAATGAAAAAAAAAGAAGATCGATACAATTTTAAGCCATGTACATCATTATGTTTGTATAAATTAAATCATAAAGACATTTAAGAATAACAAAATTATTCTTTGCCCCCATTTTAAGTTTTAGAATAGAAGCCAAGTAATACACTTGGCAACAGAAAATTGAAAGAAAATAATATTATTGCATTATCAATGTAAGGATCAATTGATTTCTATAGTGCATCTATAAACAGATAGTTTAAGCATTACTAATTTTCTAATTAATAATTAGATGTGTTTTAATAAAAAAGATAAAGTGAATCATACTTATAACAAAACAAACTCATAAAGCCTTCTTTTTTCCAGAACTTATGCTTCAAAAATGTAGACTTTGTTGTGAGCAACATCAGCTTTTATGATGGGCCCTTTTCACTTGGTTATTTGGGGACTGATCTACCGCCGGATTGCAACGCATCGAAACCAACGTACATCATCCCACACGAAGGTAAACTAACAGTCAATACAATAATTGTGCTTGATTAGTAATTAATTATTTAAAAGATATTTTGATGGTCTTTATTACCCAGAAAATGTGTTTTTTTTTCTACAATTAAACCTGGTAAAAGGATATAAAGACTGATAGGGCAGGTGTTTTAATTCACTTTATCAGCCTTTCCTGGAAAATGGATCAACCTAATTAGTTGAAGCGTGTATTGGCTCAATCTGAAAACAAGGTTTGCCTCAACCGAATGTTTTTGACCTACCTAGTGTTATCTTTGACCCTTATTTTGACCAATAATTCCATTCTTGCTAAAAAAAAAATTCCATTCACAGTCTTCCAATGTGATCTATTCCTCGGAGGTATTGGATAAAAAGTCCTTCCATTATCGGAATAAATTACATTCACACACTAGACTTCATTCACACTGTCACAGATGATTTTCTTGGTAATTAGGAAAGAATGATCACGTGATATAAAATCTGCTATCGTACGATCAATTTGATATTTTGGTCTTAATGAATGTATCACATTTACGATATGCCAATAATTACAATATCAGAAATTAAAGCTTAGACGTACACAAAGTTTTAAACCTTAAACCATACATATATTGATTTTAATATGTTATACGATTACAAAGCGTTAATGTAACTTTAATCGTTGAAATCAAGTTTTTCATCATTCACGTTTCACATGGTGGGAAAGTTTTCATTTTGGGAATTTGATTTCAAAGGGTTAAAACCGAAAACCGGATTATGTCCATAACCACTGTTCAGATAGAGGACTTTATTCCAGTTCTTAGGATTTCTTCCAAAGTACAGCTTTTGCGGAGATCTAAGATAATTTCCTCATTAAAAACTTGACCTTGTTTAAAAATTATTTAAATAATGTTTTTAGTTTTAATTTAAACAGACGTTTTAATCTATTTAATATTACAAAACTTTTAAATTGCTTGGCTACGAAAGCAAATGTTCGCCACTAAATAAATTATCAATTTTTAAATTTAAATATTAATAAAATATTAATATTTAAATATTTAATGCTTCTGGAAGGGAAAATTACAGTTTAAATATATTTGTGAATGATTATGATGTGAGAGAGGGATGAATGGATATTGAGTCTAAGTAGGGGATCAGCTGGCATACCGCCCGCTGGCGCAACTCGTTGCTTTCCTTGATTTTCCCTACTCTCGGAAATGACCTCTCAGTGAGCGGAAAGGTTGAAATTCGTTGATAAAATCTACAGACAAGCCTTGAATGGAGAAGCTCAAAGCTCAGGGAATTTTTTCACATTTTTAAAAGCACATACGATCTCTATCTGCAGTCATAACTTCAAGGGACACGAAAGGTTTTCATTCCATTTAACAGAACCAATTATAAAAATTAGCATACATAAATTTAGAGATATGCGGTTTTTAAACATCGAGCTTGACAAGCTAAAAGTAATGAAGAGACTTTTAAAAAAAATATATAGGACTTTGGGTTTTTTAAAATAATTATTTATCAATTATTCAGAGGAAATGTTATTGTCTCTTTTGCTCTATAATGTTTAACCTATTTAAGATCAATCCTTTAAAAACATTCTCTAAAAACGGAAAAATGTCCAAACCAATTTCCAATCAGCTCTTTGTTTTGAAACAGGGTGTTTGTGAATAGGCTAAATCATCAATACCTGACAGTAATGCCGAACTGTATAATTATTTATTAGATTTGTGACAACATAATTTCTATAATGTAAAAAAAATTGGCTGAAATGTGTGTGTGTGTGTGTGTGTGTGTGAGAGAGAGAGAGAGAGAGAGAGAGAGAGAGAGAGAGAGAGAGAGAGAGAGAGAGAGATCTATACGATTTTTAATGGTGTAGAAAGAGAAAAAGATAGGGGGAGGCTAAACACAACGTTATAATAGAATGTTTCACGTTTCTGAGTAAACTTTAAGAAAAAAAGTCAAGACAAGCCTGATTTGAAATTTGTAAAAGATTTTCCGCGAGGACTCTATCTAGTTATACGTTTGTATTAAATACCTATGTAAGACCAATCGAAAAAATATTCTCTAAAAAGGGATTACAATTCGCAAAATTAGGGAAGTATATTTATCATAAAATCTTTTCTATCTCTCTGTTTTTCAAGAGAACTGATAATCAGTATTTCATTATGGTGGTTCGACTGACAGCATGTTCCGATCAGCTCTTTTCAGGGTTAAACTAACGACGTTTTAACTTTAAGCCTAAACCCGACTCGAATTGAAGTAACTGTAAGTAAGTAATTAAAACGTTGTGTTTAGCCTCCCCATATTTTCTTCTCTTTCTACACCATTAAAATTGAATAGATCTCTCTCTCTCTCTCTCTCTCTCTCTCTCACTCTCTCACTCTCACTCTCTCTCTTTCTCTTTCACATACACACACACACAAACACACACACATCAGTAAAAAAATTGGCGACGGCAACCGTCTATTTAGGGGATTGTTGTTGTGCATTTACGGGCAGGAAGATTTTATGGAAATCGTCGGCCATATTTCCGAGTGGAAACAATATTGCAATTTCATTGTAATGGTCAGATCTTTATAATAAGATCTTTAAATGTGAATAGGTATGAATATTTCAAGTTAATGAAAATTATTGGTAACATGGCGGCCACGTCGAATTAGTCGCCGCCACGTAAGTCTACAACATGCGTACAAACATTTTTCGGGATAGTAGTGGAACCGTGGCCTCAACTATGAACAAATTAAAAACGCTGTTTTGCCACAGAGGGTTTGTGAATAGGCTAAACCATCAATACCTCATAGTAATGCCGAACTGTATAACCATTTATTAGATTTTTGACAACATAATCTCCATAATTTAATTTTTTACTGGTGTGTGTGTGTGTGTGTGTGTGTGTGAGAGAGAGAGAGAGAGAGAGAGAGAGAGAGAGAGAGAGAGAGAGAGATCTATACGATTTTAATGGTGTAGAAAGAGAAGAAAATATGGGGAGGCTAAACACAACGTTTTAATACAATGTTTCACTTTTCTCACTAGTTTCTCAGTTTAAACTAAAACAAACAAAGTCAAAATAAGCCTAGTTTGAATTTTTTTAAAAGTGTGAAAGATGTTCTGTGAGGATTGTATCTTTTGTTACATACTGTTAAAAGCTATGAAAGACCAATCGAATAAAAAATTATCTAAACACGAATTTCAATTCGCAAAATATGGCTGTTTATTTATCATAAAATCCCTCCTATTTCTTTTTGTTTTTTCAATATAACAGATATTCAGTACTTCATTTCTGGTTCAACTGATAACATGTCAGGTTCCAATCAGCTTTTTTCAGGGATAAACTTACGCTGTTTTGACTTTAAGCCCTTCTGAGGGCTAAGCCCAACTAAAATTGAAGTAATTGGCGATGGTAACCGTCTACGTAGGGCATTGTAGTTGTGCCTTTATGGGCAGGAAGAATTTAAGGAAATTATCGACCATGTTTCCGAGTGGAGACAATATTGCAATTTCATTGTAAGGGTCAGATCTTTATAATAAAAGATCATTAAATTTGAATAGGTATGAATATTTTAAGTTAATGAAAGTTAACGGTAACGTGGTGGCCACGTTGAATTACTCGCCGCCATGCAAGTCGACAACATGCGTTTAAACATTTTTTCGGGATAGTAATGTGACCACAATAGGCCGATACGGCCGATTTTTTTCATTACTTTATATGGGGGTTGGTTTTCATAGTCACTATGAAAGCCATCCCCCGCGTTAGTTTTCATTGCAATTTCGAATGGTAACAATCAAGATATAAGAGAATCGTCCAACAAACCCAAAATACCCCTACAATAATAAAAAACAAACTCTCGCCAATCCCCGGGCCGCCTTACGGTAGCTACGGTAGTACGGTAGTAGCTAGCACCTACTATCTTTTTGGCGAGGGGATGAGTGGTAATGAAAAAAAGAGAGCGGCGAATTGATTTTGATGGTTATATCTGTCATTTAGGTCAAACGGTTAAAGAACTGTTAACGTCTAACAAAAACGCAAATCGATTAGGTTACAACATATTGCTTAAATGTATAAAATAAAAGATTTTAGGTAAAAATGAATTTATGGAACTTGCAGGTAGAATTATTGGAAATGATGTTGGCTACAAGGCCACGCAATGTTAATATCAATGTTACCAAATGAATTCAATAGCTTCGTTTGTCTCTCTAACGATTATTTTAATTATAATATGTTAATTTTCATTATTTATTTAAATTTATTTGAGATATGAATGATGGAAAAGTTGGTTTTAACCTTTACATTTACATTAATTTTATGAAAAATTATAGCATGTTAAAATCAATAAATATAAATGAATTTAAACTTGGGGTACGTTTACGCTTTAGTTTCTGAAACTTTGGCTGTTGGCATGTCGTAAATTTGGTACATTCATTACGACCAAAATAGCAAATTGATAGTACGAGGATTGTATACTACCGGGTCATAAATATTTTGGGCTACATATAGATTTTGTGCGTGTTTATGTTTGTCTATATGTTATTTATTGGAACGAATACTTATCAGCTAGCATTGAGGGGCTTCATTCCCGACCATCCTGGGGCAGTGTGATTAATAAAGTCCAGTGGCCGTGAAGGTAATTTATTAGCATGAGTGGAGGTGCTTCTTCCTCACTCACACGAAAGTATATCGAGTTCTCTGGGGCGGTGTGAAAGAAGTCTGAAGCGTGTAAACGTAATTTATTAGCGTGAATAGAGGAGCTTTTTAACAATCACTGCGAGGAATACTCAATAAACAGGGGCAGTGTAAATGAAGTCTGGTGTATGAATGTCATTTATTAGCGTGTTTAGAGGATTTTTAATAAAGGCCTCGAGGAGTACTCTGGAGTAGTGAGAATGAAGTTTGGTGTGAGCACATTGAAATGTTAAAAACTAAACACGCTTTTCTTATTATTAGTTTGACAAATCTTATATTCTCCAATACACATTTGTTCTTATCTTATATTGATATTGACAAAAATGGAGCCATTTTAAAGAATTCGTTCGCCTTTCTCGTTGTACGGATACTGGGGCAATGCAGGGTTGGCGAATAATAAATGTACACCATGGCCCAGTAGATTGTTACCATTAGTTTTCTTCTCTGAAGCAATTTTCCTCGGACTCCACCATTTTCACGATGCCTTCCCAAAAGAATTGTTTCTTAGTTCGTAAGGAATAGATCAATATAATGATGGCTGCAAACATTCAAACATATTTGCCATTATGCATTGTAGAGTGTTTGACTTTAAAACAGTAATTATTCGCTTTTGGGGCTGGCCGAAGCGAGCATATGTTTATTTATGTTTTTATTCACCGAAAAATGTAAAGGAGGAAATACTACAATTACTTTCAAGAATATGATAACAGTTACTATTGGCAAAATTGATCGTTTCTGTTATTTTTATATAATTTTTAATAGAAAAACAATGACGTCCAATCGTGTGGGCAATTTCAATTTGCCTGTATACGACAGAGGTCATAAATCTACCTCCTACGTTTGCCTCACTGTCCTAGATATCAGAGACCATCCTGTACCGCAGTAAGGTTAGTAAATGTCGTAAAATCTAACTAAATTGTTGTTAGGTTTCCTGGCATTCCTCCAGGGTGTTATTAAAGATTAACACGATATCTGAGAACAAGAACAACCTGGGGGGAGAAAAACCTTTGGCGAGAATTGGATTACAATCAGAATCTTCGCTTTCTCCTTGGAATGTACAAAATTAGTATGTCAAAATCAATAGATGAAGTAGGTAACTAATTGAATGAACTGTCGGATTCAAAGTTTTTGATATAACAATAATTTTTTATTATTAATCATTTATTATAATTTTTTTACATTTCCATAAAAGGGGGCGTCGGTGGCCGCAACGGTTTAGGCGTTGACACGGCGCTCATCACTGTAAGGTAAAGGTCCCGGGTTCGAATCCAGCGGCCCTGCATTCGAACCTGACATACTTACAAATGGGCTATTTTCAAAAACACCGGCACCCTGAGGGTTTATATGACCTCTGCTGTTGCAAACCCTCGTAAAAAAATACTATTATAAAATTTTTGGGTGATGTTGTACCGTAAATGGCGAGGACAAAGGCTTTTGTCTGAAAGAATTAAACTAAAAAGAATTTTTTTAACGTTTTAATGTTTTAGTGATCTTTTATAAAATTTAACCAGTGGCCAACAACCAAACCAGCAAGTGAACATTTTCATAAAATTAAATTGGTCGTTTTGGAAAATGTCGGGCTTAATTCATTTCATGATGAATCAGTTAACAAAATAATAGCAATAAAACAATTCGGTACTTTTACACCTTATTTGATCCTTAGCCTAACTTATTTTTATATGTTATATTTTTTAGACTCTAGCTAACGTTTCGAACTTTGTTGGGATCATTGTACATTCACGCTCAACACGACACACAGTAATGACACATCTACACAGAAAACAAACACTTCGAAAGCTGAAGATGATCTCAATAAAGATCGAAACGTTGGCAGAACAAAGAAAATGTTTTTCTAAACCTACGTCACACCACACCGCATCTCATTATCTCCAAATAATCATTAATTAACGGTCTATAAATACCACACAAAATAATTAATAAATTGTTTTCAATTTGTATTCCGTATGAGAAGATTTTCCTTGATAACTTGTAATTTTCATTTATATAAAAATGATAGAGGGATTTAACTGAGTTCTAACTTAACATGGCTGTATTAATCTAGCTCTCACGGTGCTGAACTATTCCGAGTGGCATTACTATGATTTATCAATCCGATCCGGTACATTCTTAGAGCATTATAACTATCAGAGGAAATAATTCAAATTTAGTGGATAGAAACATGATACATGTACAAGTATGAAATAGAAGTGGCTTATAATTCAATAATTCACTTACAATAATGCATTAAATGTTTAAATAATTACAAAAAAATTAATACCCAGACTTATCTGAAGAAATTTACATAACATAATAAAAAATACTTGGAACTGTCCAAATGCGGGATTGAAATTAATAAGCATTATTTCACGATGTTGCCGCTTTTGTAAACATGATTTCCAAAAAGCAAAAAGATTATTTTAGAAAATTACGTATGGCTGATCGCATTTTATCCAATTTTTTATAATTTATTATCGTCACCATCTACTGCCATATGCCTCCAGGTTGGCGATTATTTTCCTTTGGAATTATGTAATCCAATAATATAATATAGTATTGTTAGTTTTTAGTATTGTTTTTACTTTATCTGTCATATATTTTACTGCTGAAATTGTGTGTCGGTGGAGTTGTTTGACTCGGATGTATACTGTTTGTGTATGTCGAATTGGAATTTTTTGTCAGTTTTAGTAATTTTTAGGTCAAGGATGGGCTGCCTAGGATAAAACGAAAGTTTAATTAATAATAATCTGTAATTCCAGGGTGAAAAATAGGAGCTTATATCTGCCTAACTATAGCATCTCATTGAAGAATAACTATTTAAGATATAATATCTATAAAGTTGCTTTATGCCAGTAGATTATCTCACCTTCAATAGGATAGACGTACTTACTGGCAGGCATAAGTATTCAAATGACTGAGAATACATTTACATATACTTATATTTAATTTTAGTTTCAAACTTTTGATCAGTTGGTACAAAAAAACTAAAGTAACTTTTTACTTCCCTTTCTTAATTAAGTGTGGGTGGTTTGAGTCAGCTTGTATGTTGCCTAATGTCGACTTGTAGTTTGTTGTCAGTTTAAGTCATTTTAGGTCCAGGAAGGGACTATAGAGTAGGCAAACAACATTCACAGATTCAATAGGTTGAAAATAGAATGTGAAAGACGAAACAAAAGCCAGATATTCAATGATGCTGTTTTAAAAGATAGTAACATCCTCATTAACGTTTTCTTTCAATTATTATATTTTAGATTGGAATGTAAAAAACTAAACAGTGTAATAAAAATGAGAACGTCGTTCGACGACCCCGTTCAATTTGCCCGAACGTGAGGAAGATAAACGATTATAAAAAATTGTGTCTAGATCATTTTTCGCCTCTCGTAATTATCAAAGTTCAAGCGAATAAGTGTTCAGACCATTGAGAATCTTATTTTTTTCTGGATTAATGAAAATAACAAAGACATATGTTATATTAATTATTTGTATTACTATTTTAATTTTATATTTTGTTTTAGTAACGTACTGAATTAATTTTCGTTGTCATAATATCTCAGATAAAACGAAAAAAGTAACTGATACCCCATTATCATCCTGTATATCATTAGTATAGTATACGCCGAATTGTGAAACGTCTCGTATTTCCATTAGTCCTGTTTTTTTGTTTTAATATCATCCTTTGAATAACTTATTTTCCTTTACTTCATAAGCAAGAAATTATACCTTAATCCTAATCATTTAAAATTCCTTTCTTTATCCTTTTCTTATTTCATGTTTTACTATTTATGACTTTAATTACTAAGAAAATGGTTACCGATTTAATCGAGTTTTTTTATTTCTGTTGTTGTTCTGTATATTCTTATTCGAGGTTTTCAAAGTATTTGAACTGCTATTATTTTAGTATTATTTTTTTGTAACAAACGGTGATAATTTATTAATTTATTATAATTTATGATTGGAAGTAGTGGGAGGTGTTTGGGAACATAGGATCTTTCAAAATTATTGACTTTTCCTTTAAACTGTTAACAAAATAAAATGAAGAAGAAGTTATAAGTTTACGGGGCTATTTTTAGCGTAAGAACCAATTCCGTTCTCAGTCTATCGCATCAAAATGTCAAGAAATCTTTTTCAAGTTCAGTCTTAGAATTTAATTTGGAACAGGGTGAACATCCTCGTGATGGTAAAGGTCGACCCTAATCCCCAGGTGATAAACTTCGGCCTATAAGCTCCGGATTGATTTGTTTTTTAGTTAATTGTTCTTTGTATTATAAACAAATTGAAACTCCCAAGGCGATTTACCTTGTTTTTATTCCACAACGGTTAAAATAATCTTCTTTATCAATTTCAGCTCCCAATTTAATATGGCTGGACGGAAACTATGAACTTTGGGTCAACGCTTCATTAGGCCGACAAGAGTTCAGTCTAGGCGTGGTCTGCTCCTTTGGCGCATATACTTCGATATACCGAGATATCTCGGTAAAGTTGATTTTCCTGTTGGAAGCCATGCCTGCCGACACAGTGCGACTCATCAAATCCGCCAGCGTCAGCGCAGTGAGTATTGAAAACCTTTAACTAACCAGGATCATTACAATTTAGAGATAATGCGTTGAGGTATGAAAGATGAAGAAACTTTAGTTTTATCGTCTCCGGTCATTGTGGTCTGTATGGTTGACAAATTAATGCACAGACAAAACTTGAGAGAACAGTCAAACATGGGTGATCAGAGAAGATAAAACTAGAAATAATTGTGAAGTTTGAGTAAGAAATTAAGACTTTGAAATCTTATAAATTAACCTTTAAAGTTATTTTTAACCAAAACTTTTACCAAAAACCTTTATATTTGAATTTAGTAACAAACAAATTATCGACTTACCTTCACCATTCAAAGCAGTAAACATAAAAAAGCACAATAACCGATCAGAAAAAACGAAAAAAAAAACAGTTTTCAGTCTAAGGCACCGACAGAATAACAATTACGAAAAGGCCCCCTTTCATAGTTCACTGACATTTAAAAAGAATTTCGAATAAGAAAATAATAAACAGACCTAGCAGTGAAGATAGAAAAATGGAAAAATACCCACACAGCAAGGATAGGCGGACCTGGGTGATCGGAGAAGATAGAAAATTGAAAGTACTTAAGTTGTGGTTTTGGAATTTTCTAAAGACAACTAAAAAAAAACTATTTAGTAACGAATTACTAGATAAAAACCCAAACCGGTAGTAACAATTATTAAACAAATTGAATAGCAATAATTGTCTCAACTTACATCTGTATATTCTATGATTTTCATAGCAATTGTATATAGTGACCACCAAATTCCAGTAAATTATCAAATTTATAAACTTACTCGAATTGTTAAGATGTTTCATAAGTAGTTTCAGTTACTCTTTTTGTTAGTTTCGCCCTTTTTACTGGCTTGTTACGATTTTCAAGATGACAAAACATCCTGAAGTTGACTTTTCCCTAAATGGAAGCGGGTAAAACAAATATCATTGAAATAAGACCGAAAGGTTTTCAAAGCTGTTCAACTTTCAGCTTTCGATCTCCTTCTGAGCAAAGCCGTTTGTTTTATCTATAAAGTCTTCATCCTTGTGTGAAAGATATACACAAAATGGTGATAAACCTGGCTTTCAAAGGGAATACGGACGTATAATTGACGATTTCAATTAAGCTTTTATCGCGATAGGAATTTCCTCATTGAAATTAATCCTCTTTAATTTGATATGGACCGTTTTTAACTTCAAATTGAATATTTTTAATCTTTTAACATTTTTTACCATGAAGTTAACTTTTTTTAATTTCTTAATTGACCGATTATCAATTCAAATACACCTTTTCTAATTTAAAATTAGACCTTTTTTCAAAAGAACAAAAACCTAGGAGAAGGAAATTGTAAGCAGGTAAAGTAAAATTCCTGCATTTGAAGACAACACTAAATATAAAATAAAATCTGCTTTTAGAAACCATATGCATATAATATGTAAATAATCGTCTCTTTAGTCGGCGAAGAGGGTTCGAGGGTAATTGCAATTCAAATTAAAAATTATAGAAAATAAAATTAAAAATTTTTTCTTTTACTTTGGGAGATATTTCAATTTGGTATAAAAAATGTAAACTACATATTACCAATTTAAAAGAAAATTCCTTGGTGGTATGGTATGGTGGAAAAAGTTACTAGGAAGTGGCGTTTGTATTCCCCAGGCACTGCAGCCTTCTGGCTTATTGTACCTTCCTAGTTCCTTAGTTCAGTCAATAGAGTCAATCCTTCTTCTTAGAAGTATCAGGTCATTGACTGTTGCTGCTGCAATTTGATTCCGTAAGTCTTTTCCGTACGTTAGGTTAAACCTCCATTGAGCTGTTGCTTCGCATTCGAAGATGATATGGGTGGCTGTTTTCTCCTCCTCGTTACATAATCTGCAAATGGGATCATCGCTGTATACCATTTTCTCAGATACCAGTGACCGGTTAGTAGTCCTACCACTCCTCTGAGTTTGGCCCTCTCCAATTGCAACAGTGTTTTTGCCAGTCTCGGTGAGGGTTGTTTCATCATAAGTTTACTATGTCTAGCACCGCTAGAGTTTATCCCCTCTCCTTTTGTTTTGTTTGGATCCATTCTGCGATGGAGGATTCTATATTTGTTCTTGTTATCCAAAGAATAGGTTCGGGGCCTATGTATGGTCCTGCAGATCCTCCTCTGGCCAGTCTGTCTGCTTTCTCGTTACCCAAAATTCCCTGTGCCCTGGCACCCAAGATATCATCAGGTTGTTATGTTTCCCCAGTTTTTGGAGATTTTGGATGCATTCACTGAATAATTTTGATGTGATTCTTTTACATGCTAATGCTTTAATAGCTGATCTTATGAGGATTTTTTTGTCAGTGTAACCTCTTTTAAGATTTTCCAGGGCACAAGCTTGATGGCATGTATTTCCGCTTGAAAGACCCTAATGAGTTTGATTGCTCATGTTTTGGGCTTGTACAGAAAACCCCTGATCGGGTTCCTTCGTTTGTTTTGGAGACATCTGTGTACCATATCATTGTATCTGATGCTCTCCTGTTTCTTCCTCTCCTTTATAGTCCGTTAAGACTTTATACGAAGTTGTGAAGAGTGTTTCTTGGATCATGTAATCAGTCCCCATTTCTAGGAATGATTGTCTGATTTTGTGAATTATAGTTGTATGCCCGAATTGTTTAGTTCCTTTCCAATTTAATTGTTTCTGGAGCCTAACTCAGCTTTTCCTAGCTGTCCCACCTTGTATGAATATTTCCAGTGGAGGTAGGTTTAGCAAAGTTTCTAATGCGTTTGCAGGGGATGTTCTAATCGCCCCTGTGATACATAGGTTTGCTAGTCTTTGTATGTTGCCTAATGTTTGGGTAGCTAAATTTCGTTGAGCTTTGTTCCACCAGATTAATGATCCATAGGTTATTCATGGTCTTATTACTGCCGTGTATAACCAATAGGCCATTTTCGGTTTTAGTCCCCAAGATTTGCCTAAGGTCCTTCTTGTAGTCATTAGCGATATTTTACCTTTTGCTATAGTATGTTGCAGGTGAGGATTCCAGGTTAATTTCTTATCAAAGATTATTCCTAGATATTTCCCTCATTTTTTAAAAGCAGCATTTCGCTATAGAAGCGTAATCCTTGTATTTCTATATTTCTTTTCTTGGTGAAAGCGATTAAGGTGGTTTTTGAGGGGTTTACTTTAAGTCCCCGTTTTAAACGCCATTGTTCCACCAGGTTTAGTACTCTTTGGGTGAGCTCTTTTAATGTTGAATCAAATTTTCCCCTGACTAGTATGACAATGTCATCTGCTTAGCCTTGGGTGTAAATTCCACTTTCATTTAGTTTGCATATGAGGTCGTCCACTGCCACATTCCACAGCAGAGGCGAGAGTATTCCTCTTTGCGGACACTCCCTCGCCGCCACTGCTTCTACTTTTTTGTGGAACATGGAAGCCTGCACTTTCCTGCTTTTTATCATTGAATCTATCCATCTACTGCAGGTTTTGTCTGTTCCTCGCTGTTTGAGTGATGTAACCATTGCTTCGAAAGGAGTGTTGTCAAATGCTCCTTCAATGGCCAAGAAGGTTCCCAATGCTATTTTTTGGTTGTTCAGTGAATCCTCTATTTGTAAATTGAAAATTCCTTTATTTTCATATACATAATTGTTAATTTTAAGTGTCATTAATTTAATACTGTCTTTTATTATTTGCTCACAAATTTAAAATAATTCTGAAATTAAAAGAAGTCTCCCTAATTTTTATATTTAATTTTACATAATTTTTAATTTTAATTGTGATTATTTTCATTTGATAAAGGTTTTATATACACTAAAAAAAAATCTTAAAAAAAAACAACAGATTCTTGCATTTTGTAGTTTATTACAAACTATATGTATTTTTATCGTTGTAATACTTACAACGTTTTCATGTTTATGTAAATCAAATTAAACGAGATTAGAAATTCATGAATTTTAATCAAAATTATTTAATTATGATGGTTTGAAAAAAATTTACCAAAACACTGAAAATCATTTAGTGATAGATTAAAATTTAATTAACAATTTATTACCTAGTTTAGCTCTTAATAACGCGAATTAGGTTTTCTGTTCTCACGGAGGGTATTAATTCCGCTAGGCACGGAGTAATACGCGATCGGAACTTGTTTGTGATATGGATCTCATTCTTCAACAAGAGCGGTTTGAAGTTGTTCACCTTGCTGGAGGACAATGCCTAACCCGAATCTTTATCGTGTTCCAAACGTATTCTATGGAATTCATGTCAGGAGAACGCCAATTCTTTGTGGTAACAACATCCTCCAAGTAGTGGGTGACAATCCTAGCTACATGAGGTCGAGCATTATGATTCATTAACCCGATGTTGCTCACAAAATGTAGCGAATGGGACCACAGCTTCCAGTACCGTAATGCAGTAAAAGATCCATTCTGTATGACAATCAGTTCAGTAGGGCATGGACGTTGTTTCCACCCCATATCATAACTCTCTTTGAACAGGCTGAGTCTCACGCATGGCGCATGAAGCAAAGCGTACTCTACTTCTTCGGCACACATGTTCCCAGTGTTCCCAGTCATCTGATTACCACAAACCAAACTAGAACTCATCTGTGAAGAGGATAACCCCCCCATTTTCAAGTGTCATTCCAAGCGGGATGCTGATTTGCGAATAGTCAGTCGCCTTTCTATTCGATGTCTTTCCAGTTTTAAATACAACTGTACTTTTTTTCTTGCCTTTAAGTGTATAAACAACCTTGAAATACATGAACAAAAAAGTCAGAAAAGTTATATTTTAATAATATAAATACACTTTATTTAGCTAAGAAATGTTTTTCTTGGATCTGGACTGGCAAAAAGCAAACTGTTTGTCAGGTACATAATTCCCCTTAATGATTGGCATTTCACTGATTACGATTTAATTCTCTTGTTTATATTACATGGACAATCTGTGTTTGTTAAGGAGATAAAAGGTCATCCCTTCCCAGAGGGTTTGCGAGGACAACATGACGTGCCCTTTGTTGTTCCGAGTGCTTCCTTTAT